AATTGTAAAAAGCTTACATTATGGAGCTCATGTCCGTGGTACAAGCAGAAGACTCTTCTATGAGCTGAATTTCTACCTAAGTCAAAGTCTTTCTATTGTGCCGATGGAAAATGCTATGGGAAGGATTCACACATGAAATACCAGCAACACAATATCATAAAGGAATTACAAACCATCTAAATGCATGTTAATTACATAAAACACTGATCTAGTCACATGACAATAAATGAACATTTTAAAATATGTGCTAATACAGAAGTGTGAAGCCTACATGTTCATAGTTTGATCAAAGTGCAATCATTTTCCTTAAAGACATTCTAAATATAATAAATCCTGAGATTAAATGCTGAGTTTTTCATCCTACTGCATCAAGAATCACCCAGAATTATTCTGCATATTAAAGGTTTAAGACACAAGAAAAACAGCAGCAAAATGAACTTTCTGTGAATTTCTGAAGTTGACCACAGTCCCTTTTGTGACGGTAACTGAAGCAGTCAATTAAACTACGTATTTCATCTGGTAAAGCTACAGAGAATTCGCTGGTTCCCTTCCCAGGGAAAAGCTGACCAGGCACAGGCTCAAGCTGATGCAGCTCACCTAGCTGATCTTTAAGTGCTCTCTTTTTACCTAGACGTTAACTCTTTCCTAGTTTCCCATCTCCTGTGGAATGTTATGACTTCAAATACTGGGGTTTTTTTTCCCCTCCTCAGTATACAAGAACACTCATTCTTTCTCTGTCAATTTCATGTGGCAAAAATAAGGATTCCATGGGAGAAAAGCAAAAATCAAACCTATCTACATAGCAGGATATTCTCCAAAAGCAACAACCTTAGATTTATGAAAATCATATTCAATAACAAAGACCTGCATGTGGTTATTGCTTTAGAAAAACAGACTGACCTTAAAAAAAGGTTCCCTTTGAAGAGGACATTGTTATACTCATATTACCACATGTCCGCTCTAAACAACACTATAAACCCACTGACCAACAAGGCTTTTCACTTGTTTCAGGATATGGGAGTGTCTCTCTCTCTCTCTCTCTCTCTCTCCTCTCTCCTCTCTCCTCTCTCCTCTCTCCTCTCTCCTCTCTCCTCTCTCTCCCCCCATCTCAGAACTATTCCACTCCTCAAGTGTATGATACTTTAGGCTGCTGACACAAACTGTACTCTGTCATCACTTCAGGAAACAAAATACATATAATTTTTAATGTTATTTAAACAATTTTAAAATCGCTTCCTAGTTTTTCTGGAGACAAGATCTTCTACAGCTCAGGCTGACCTGGAACTCATGATGTATCTGGGAATAGCCTTGAACTTCTGATCTTGCCTTCACCTCCTGAGTGCTGGGATCACAGGCGTATGCCACACACCTAGTATAAAAAATGCTGGTATCTTTCTTATTTTGGGAAAAATAAGTCTCAGTGAGTCAATATTCAGAACACCGCCACATCATTCTGAACACCTTCTCCATGTCGTTAGCTGCTTTTCTGCACCGGAGTCTCACTTCATGGACAGAACTAACGAGCCTCCTATGTTTTAAAGTGTTTGAGTGTACCTGCAGTGTTTGCTACACATCTATACTACGCTATTTTGTTCACACTAGCAGCTGTTCAGATGTGATGCTTCCTACTTGGTGATTAATTTACCTTTTAGTTGCTTTTGCTACTTGTGGGGAAAAAAAAGACTAAAGATAGGAGATGTGTAGAAGTGGTGCTTCAGGAGAAATGTTTAAGGAGATAAGGGGCCTTCTTGTTTTTCTGCAGCCATAATTTTAGCTTTAGTTTGGGGTAGGTAGGTGGGTGGGCTGGTGGGGTGAGTAGCTAGGTTGACAGGCTGTTTGGCTGGTTGGTTGGTGGGTGGGTTGGCTGTGGGTTAGCTAACTGGTTGGCTGGTTGGTGGGTTGGTTTCCTGAGACAGGGTCTCATGTAGCAAGTCACTATGTAGCCAAGGATTAATTCTTGATTCTCCTGCCACCAGCCCTCAAGTTCTGGGATTACAGCCATGACCCACCATGCCCCACCTCAGTCACAATTTTAAACACACTGATCTTTTCTAAGTTAATGGATTTCAACCTCTGTGTCTAAGGCAGTTTGTCTAGGAAAAAAATCACACTTATTCATTTATTTATTTATTATTTATTTATTGAGGGGAGTACATGTATGTCACAGTACATATGTGGTGGTGTGAGAACAGCTTGAGGTAATCTGTGCTTGATTCTCAACATGTGGGTTCTGGGGATGAACCTGGGTCACTGGGCTGGGCGAGTAAAAAAAGCTTTGAGAGTGCTGGGTTCTGAGCTACACCCTCAGACAGACAGTACAATTCCATGTAGTGTCTCTTCACACCTGTGCCACAAAGATACCTGAGTCTGAGCCCCATGCATGAGACAGTGTGTCTTTATAAACCACAGAAAGAACAAGTACTTCAAGAATAAACAGGAGGGTGAGCTTGTCATGATCTTCCTGTGGGTCTGACATCCGGCTATTCAAAAACAAAATGCAAGAAAAACTTTCTATTTTTGAGACAGGGTCTCTCTGTAGCCCCAGCTGGCCTGGAACTTACTATGTAGACCAGGCTGGGCTTGAACTCACAGAGATCTGCCTGCCTCTGCCTCCCAAGTGCTGGGATTAAAGGCATTCAAGAAAAAGTCTTACTAACGCTCTCTTAAGAGAGTTAGTGATGATATGACCTTATTTTACAACAGGAAGCTGATGGGTACAGCAAAGGTGCTTGGTGACAAGCGACGCAAAACACCCTTCACCTGGAAATAAGCTTAAAACCTTGATTTGCTCTGCCAACCCTCAATGTTCCAATTTTGCCAACAAAGCCAGGTAGTCCGTGGTGTCTTTACAATGGAATGTGACTAAGGAATCAGTTGCAGAAAATTCAAACTAAGAAATTGCAATGAACTGACACCGCAAAGCATTATGCTGGACATTCCACGAAAGAGACAGGTCTCCCTGGTGCCTCCTCTCTCGAATGATACATACGGGATGGAGAGACGGCTCAATGGTTAAGAGCACTGGCTGCTCTTGCAGAAAACCTGGATTTGAATCCCAGCACCCACACAGTGACAAAGAATCGTCTGTAGCTCCAGTTCCAGGGGATGGGATGTCCCCTTCTGTCCTCCACGGCACTGCATGACACGGGTGCACTTACACACATGCAGGCATAACACTCATACACAGAAAAGAAAAAGAAAGTTTTAAAATAGTACAGGACCCTTAACCAAGACCTCACTAATCTGCTCCATTGGGGTCCCCAAATCTGTCAGTAAGTTTCACTTGTAAACCGAGCTACCACAGGCACCCCGGTTTCCACAGAGGAGACTGCCACTTTTGAGAGGTAAACTGATCTTCAACATTTGTTTGAGTTACCCTAGAATGATGTTTACAGTTTTAATTCCCTCTGAATGATTGCTTGTTTGGTTAGATGACATATGGAACTGATTTTTATCTATGCCATATGTCTGCAGCCTCATTTAACATGGCAAATTATTCATCCCCATGGTGGATCCTAGTTAGATCTTGTCAGCAGGTATTAAATATGCACACAAGAGATGACCTGCCTGTTTTAAAAAGTTTTGTGTGTTACTGTGCCCTATAACCTTTTTGAAGCATTCTTAAAATGTCAATGTTGTGCTTCATGAGGACAGCTGGGAAGAGGTTCCTCCAACCTCGGCTCCACAGTAAAACAAAGGCAGGACAGAGAGCAGTCTCATTACAGACAGACAGACGGCTCTTCCTTGATGCCAAGAGGACCGCTCTGAGGTAGCAACCACTGCTTACATTCAGTCCCATTCTTTTATAAGATGTTTGCATCATTAACCCTAGATCCCACAAAGTGCTGGAATTTCACTTTGAAAGTCCCGACAATCTGTCTCCCTAACTGCGTGACGGCTGCTGCGTGTTACAGTGTCCTGTTTGGAAAAGCAGGCCTGGGTAAGAAAGCACAACCCAGACCTCTTCCTCCCGGCTCCCAGATTGCCAGGCCCTGGGTCCCAATCTCCTGCAAATACTGTGACTTATAATCTCTGCTCACACTTCCTATTTGTGGAAAAACTATGATAGACTTGAGGGAAAATACATGTATTTTCTATATTACTTCAGTATATATAACAGGCACCTGTTTTGATTCAACTTGGTTGGTTATGAAATCTCAGGGGAAATCATTTTTTAAGCTTACAAGTAGTAACAAATCTTAGAAGGCACTAAAATTTAGAATTTTCCAGTTTAAAGCTTCTATATAATTAAAAATACATTCTTTAAAATGAGAAATATAATTATTTTTATATTTAAGGAAGAGAGGCACCATCTCTACTAATGATCATCAAGCTAACATGACCTGTCCTTGTCTACACCCCACAAGGTGCAATTTAAACAGTCTATAGACTGTAATCGGGAGCTACGGAAATTTTACAAAGATTTTTCACCAGTTTTTACCAGATGGACTCTAAATTTATAGGAAGGAATCTGCTTAAGATGCTAAACATAACTGGCTAGGAGATTAGATGACAGACAGCTAGGCAAACTGATTGATAAATATGATTGATAGATAATAGACTGATAGATTAATCATTAATTAATGATTAATGAGTTGATAGTGATAGATAAAGATGATAGACAAATTGATAGATGATTTATTGATTGATAGGTGATAGATATATTGATAGATGATAGACAAATTGATAGGTATATGATTGATAAATAGGTTGATGGATGATTGATTGGTGATATATTTATAGACAGATAACTGATAATCTGATAAGAGATGATAAATAAATTGATAGATATATAACTGATATATGATAGATTGATAGATTATTGATTGATTGATAGGTGATAGATATATTTATAGACAGATGATAAATTGATAGATATGATTGATAGATAATAGACTGATAGATTATTGATTGATTAGTAATAGATATATTTATAGACAGATGATAGATGATTGATAGAGGTACATAGATGATTAATTAACTGATTGATTGATTGATTGATTGATAGATAGATGATAGATAGATGGATGATAGAGATATCTATGATATCCCTATATTCCTAGCGCCCATGGCATCCCCGATAGAAATAACTCTGGAAACTGGGCCGCCCTAAACTCTTCTCAAAGTCTGTTCTTCTTCCTGTTACACTTTCGTATTTTGTAAAAAATAAATTTTTTTAAATCATGAAAAGCACTCAATCTTAGCCAATATTGAGTTTTCCAATATAATAACACATGGGAGAGAATGGGACATTCCTGACGAAGATGGACTGGGCCACTGAAAATCCACAGGTTTTCCAGAGCTCACTCTCTGATTCCTGCCTGAATGTGTGCCATGATGAGGGCTACAAGCACTCCACTGAATGTGTTTACCTCAGATGCCCCGAGTGTTTCCTCCTACCAAAACAAGCACCTGGGGCTGTTTTTCCTGCACTTAAGGTGGATTTTTGTTAAAGAGGCAAAAGGAAAGGCCAACAGGCTCTGGGACCATTTTGATCTACTGCTGTTTCCAAATTATCTCTGAAACTAAATTGTAATTTGTTCAGTCAATGGTTTATTGCCTTTAAGATAACACGTGTTTTCCTATTACCAATGCTCTAAGAGCCCAAGATATCCTAGATAAATGCTTTAGAGCACACTGCTGTCTAATGACACCATTTCTAAGGCTATAGAGCAGGAGCATCCTATTTTTTCTCCTTTACAAACATGGGTAGCCAACTGCCTTCTATGGCAACTTCTCTGTCTCTCTGATTAAGTTCTTCTAAAGGAAAATTTTAAACATATGCCATAAAAATAAGTCATTCCTTTGTAGCTAAAAGTTACGTATTCTTCCAATCCACCTCTACTTTTAATATTCAACAGGTAGTATTCTACCATATTGCCCCGTTCTGCGTAATAGACTGTGCTTAGTATTCGAGTATTACAGCCCTTTGTTTTGTTACAACCCTTTTATTCTGTTTCAAAAGCGTCTATGCCACAGCAGAAGAGGCCTTGTTTTGTTCCTCCTCTTCATTTTCTTGAGGGCTGGTAATTGTCACTTCTGGCCTTGGTGGTCTTTGAGGGTCTAAATCAACCTGGAAAACAATCAGACCAAAACAAAAATATTTAGTTCATTGTTTTATGAAAATAATAAAATTTACAAATGAAATATTTACATGAAAATTTTCCATCTGACTGTATAAGCGTTCCACTACAAGTCACCCCCCAGGACCCCCTGTTCTAGCCCATAATTACCCCTGGGCTCTCCGTTCTCAGCCCTTTATTTGTATCAAAGCTATTTCCAGGATCATAATCCAATTAATCCAATATGTGCTTTAAAAGCACAGAATAAGGGACTGGAGGGATGGTTCAGCAGTAAAGACCATGTTCTGCTCCTGCCGAGAACCAGAGTTCAGTTCCCAACACCCATGTGGGGTTGGTTGGGGGGCTCGCAACTGCCTGTAACTCCAGCTTTGGGATATCTGAAGCCCCCTTCGGGCCTCCAAGGGCACTCCACTCACATGCATTAACCACACACACACGCACACACACACACACACACACACTTCTTTAAGATGAAAATAAAGCCCAGAATGAGCTGGGAATGGTGGTACTCATCTGTAATCCCAGAAATTTGGAGGTAGAGACAGAAGGATCAGGTGTTCAAGACCAGCCTCATCTACATCAAATTGTCTGAGGCCAGTTTGTCTCAAACACCCAACACAAACAAATGCGATAAAAGCACAGGTTGTGTTCATGCTGCGGGGTTTATTGTTAGCAAATTCCCTCTATTTTCCTTCAGGTTTTCTGTCCAGTGGTGGATTTATACTTTTCAGTAAGTATTTTCAGAGGTGAGGAAAAAAATGTACCTTAACTTCCCCTCCTGCCTTGTTAACCCACGTGTTTCCAGAGGCCCCTGGTTTTAGTTCCCTGCCAGAATTCAAAACCTCATGGTGAGGAGTGCACCAAGTGCCACTGTGTACCAGAGTCCAGTAGACAGGAGCAGGACCAAAAGTAACACGGACAGCTTTCCCCAGTACCAGCCCCATCCTGCCTTGTCCGTTTCTCATGCTGAGGGTTATGTTTTCTCATTTATGACTCATTTGCCCATCAGACTGAAGCAGAGGTGTGAGGTGAGAACTTCAGACTCCACTGCATGAAATCCCGGAGGCTCCACAGCCACACAAGAACCACCAGTCTAGGGGGCAAGAGCTCCAGACCCCCAAGCCCACAGCCATGATTTGTGCTCAAAACAAATAAGGAAAAACATATATATGTATGTGGACATATGTATTACATAAGTATGTGCATATACGCATGCATGTGTGTATATGAATGTATACAGATTTGTGTGTGAGCATGCATATATATATATGCATGTACATATTTAAGTATGTATATTTATGCATATATGTCTGTATATGTAAGCATGTGTCTATGTGTACATGTATGTGTATATGTGCATATATAATATGTACATGTGTAAGATTAGGTGTATATGTATATGCATGTATATATGTATGTGTGTGCATGTGCATATATGTGTATATTTATGAACATGTGCATGTATATATCTATTTTGTATATGTGTACATGTGCAAGTATATGTGTGTGCCTGTGTGTATGCACACATGTATATATGTGTATAACTGTATGTTTGTAATGACATATGTGAACATGTGTATGTGTGTACATGTGTAAGTATATGTGTCCATACACATGCATATATGTATTTTTGCATGAATATGTACATATATGTGCATTATATGCACATACATATAATATGCACATACATAAATATGTATCTATGTATTGTGTGTTTACATGCATGTATGTATTTGTATGCCTGTAGGTACCTGTGGTAAGTATATATCTGTATATTTATGTATGTAAGTTGGTGTATATATTGCTATGTGTCTATGCATGCATGTGTCTGCATGTGCATGTGTAGGCATATGTGTGTTTACATTGTATGTGTGTGCACATGTATTTGTGTGCACATGTGAGTGCATACATGTGGACATTATGTATGCATGCATGTACACGTGTATGTCTGTGTGTACGCTTTCATATGTATGTTCCCAGGTCTCTATCTTCTTCCACACTGTGACCTTGGGAAGAGTCTCCCAACAGGACCTTGATGCCGTGTAAATGCAGAACCCCATGTGTCTGCTGCTGTTGTGTATTTCCCTCTATTCCTTCTATTTTCGTTTGTCACTTTACACAAGGACTGTCACGTGTAACAAATGCTACATGGTAAAGTGAAGTGTTAGTCATTTTATGAGTCTTTTGTAGAAGTCATTTGTTAAGCTGTAATCTATCAGTCATGCAAGGTTAGATGTTCACACATTCATGTAAGCTTAGACAGTGCCCTTAAAGCACATCTGTACTCGCACATGAGGACAGCCAAAGGCAAATCTGATCGTCACTGCGGGGGCGGTGACTTGGGTAAGAATCTCCTGTAAGTGACTTCTCTGTCTGGGCATCTGATTGGTCCTTAAAGTCCCTAATGAGCTACTTTTCTGAGTATCTAAGCACTGGGCTCACCCCTATTACACACCACAGACACTCTTTCTTCAAGCCCTTGACAAATTACATAACCCTGACTAAACTTATGCCCAACTTTTACCAAAAACCTATTTTTCTACTTTATTTTTAAATGAGTTTATTTTTAATTGAAAAAAAAGTGTCTATATGTGTGGCCTACCATATGCTGGTCTGAAGTGTGTGCATTGTGGACTACTAACATGAGCAACTAAACATAGATTACCTCTGAGTCAGCTTTTCAGTGGGAACAGGAACCCTCTCTGGTCGTCAAGAACCACACAGGTTCTTGGGCTGTCAACCCTAGTCACTCTTCTGTACAATACGACTCTTGAACTTACTCCTCAGAATTGAATTTTCCTGTCCTTTGGCCACATCCCCTCCAATGCAGCCTCAGTGCCTGTTCCCCCATGTTCCGTCTGCTCTGTCAGCTTCACTTAAATTCACATGCCATGAGGTCGCATGGCATCTGTTCCCATCAGGTTTCCCCTCACATAATGTCCTCTGACCTTATCCATGTTGTTAAAATTACAGGCATACCTCCAAGAGCTGAGCTTATGGGCTATGGAAGGGCAGGAAGCCATCTCTTTCTGTGAAGTCTAACTAGGTCACACATTGAATCAGGCTATTCCAGTGGGAAAATGCATACCAGACTCTTCCCACGGAGCTCCATGTAGAATTATGTTCTGATTTCACCTTGTAGGCATTCATCAAAGGCCGCTGCAACAGAGCTTTGTGAAACCCAGGATCACTGCCACATGTATGGCCCCAAGGACTATGTGGAACTCCATGTGAGGAATGTGTCCCTCACAGAGTCACCCTGTGATAATCTCACCTTGAGTGAGGATGAAATGAGAGACAGGTTGAATCTTTTCATTTAGATGTTTAAAAAATGTTTTGGAGCAGCGTACAGTGGAATACAAATAACTTTTCACTGGCTGTTAAAACCTGGACCACTTTGGTACTGTGCTGCTGTTCAACGTCTCCCCCTTGTCTATTGCTACAGTGAAATAAACCATGCCTGATATGGAGGATGCTTGACTAATCTATTTAACATGGGCTACATAAAGTGGACACTAGTCCCTCTACAAAACAGAGGTCACTGGTAACAGCGAGATGTTCTTTAAACTAGGCCAAAGGCTTTCTGCTCTTGCTACAGTCTTCTCGCTCATTCTTCCCAGGTCTTAACTTATCTGTATTGTTGGTATTTCTTTCTTTTATTGAAGATGTTCTAAAGGGCTCTGAAAAGCCTTTGCACAATGAGGTAGAGAACAGGTGGATGGATGGATAGATGGATGGATGTGGGTGGATGATGAGGTGGGTGAATGGATGGGCACGTGACTGAATGGGTGGGTAAGTAGGTACATGAGTGGATTGATGGGTGTGGATGGATGGGTGGGTACATGAGTGGATTTGTGGGGAGCTGGGTAGGTGGGTGGATAGGTATGTGAGTTGATGGGTGGATGGGTGGGTGGGTGGACAAATGGGCATGTGATTGGGTGGGTAGGTGAATGAGTACATAAGTGGATTGGTAGGTGAATGGGTGGGTGGGTGGGTGGACAAATGGACATGTGATTGGGTGGGTAGGTGAATGAGTACATAGGTGGGTTGGTAGGTGAATGGGTGGGTGGGTGGATGATGGATACATGAGTAGGTGGGTGAGTAGGTGAGTGGTTAGATGGGTGGGTGGATAGATGACAGGTGAGCAGAGGGTATGTGGATGGGGATGGAGAACAGAATAGGCAGCAGAGACACACATGACAGTACTTGTTGACGGAAATCGGTTGAAACTGAATTAAATGGCAGTCTTTCTACCATGCAGGGTTTCAGTTCTAAGCATTTGGCTAACTTCCCAAGCATGTTCATGTGTGTGCAAGCACACACATTTGTACACATGCAAGCCAAAACAATAGAAAATACCTCGTCTTGTTCCTCGTTAGTTCCTTGAGACTTTCCCTCCTCATCCACTGTCTGTTGAGGCTCATCAGCAACCTGGTCCAGTTCCTCACCATTTTCTTCATTGGTGCCTCCATTCACCCGAGAGGGGCCTACCTCGTCTTCTCCATCCCCTGGGACCTCCTCAACCTGCTCAGGCGCGTCGGCAGCCTCCGGGCCGCCTCCGTCTTCGACTTCACCGTTCATCCCTGAGAAGGCCTCTTGCCGTCTGGCATCCCTGCCGGCCTTCTCTCCATCCTCTTCCTCATCCACTATCTCTGCTGGCCTCTTACAAAGCACAAGAGATCGGGGTGAAAAAAAGAAGCGTAACAGCCCTCTTCCATCACGTGTTACAGAACTGTGATGATTAGTATATTACAGTCCAGTAAAGCTTTCTCACAGTCTACTGTTTACCTCGCTGAGCACTGCTGTCATAGGCAGTCGTTAAAAGTCTTTTCAAGTTTAATCTTCACAAGGATCCTTGGGTTGGGTTATTCCCATCTTTAAAAGGAGAAAACTAGGGCACAGAGGCTTGAGCTAAGCTTGTGGCTCACAGTCCACATGGCAGACAAGGGGTCAAATAGGAGAGTCCTGGGACAGTGTCCTGTTTTCTGATCGAGAGACTCAGGTATTACAAAATTAAGGTTATGGAAAATCAAATTAAACATATTTAGTACTATTGGGTTTAAAAGAAATCAGAAGACCAAGTTCCAAACCAAATAATGTAAAGAGAGAAAGGCCTGAGTTCAAATCCTGGCAGGTACTTGCTATCAGCATCCTGATTTCTGTGGGCTCCTGGCTCCCTATCTGTGAAATGAAAGGATCATAAAAGTCCCATAGGGAATAGATGAGATGCATTATATACAACATCAAGATCAGTGCCCAGCACATCACAGATTTCAGAGAGCATTGAAATCTCTTCCCATTTGTTAGAACTCTTTCCTGGAGCCATCATTTCCATCCAGACAATAACAGTACAGCGCTGGGGCAGAAAGAGCCCAGGCTTTGTATGTCAGCATCCTAGACCTGCCTCTTCCTAGCGTCTGTGTTGGACCTGTCACTTAATCCTCCTGTCTCTGTAAATAAAATAAGGGTTTTGGATTCCATTAGCCTGGCTCCTTTCCACCTCTGGAAATGAATTCTCTTCTATTTTAGGAAATAATTGCTTATAAAGGTTAACACATCCTGGGACTGAAGAGATGGCTCAGCAGTTGAAAAGACCGTTTTAGCAGAAGACCCAGATTCAAATCCCAGCACCCACATGACAGCTAACAATTGTCCATAACTCCAGTCCTCTTCTGTCCTCCACAGGCATTGCACGACATGGGTGCACTTACGTACATGCAGGCAATACATGCATACACATAAAATAAAAATAGTAAAATATGTTTTAAAGTTAACTCACTCTGAGTGAAGGAACAGACCAACAACTCAGACTGAAACTCCACACAATGCCATTTGAAGAAGGAAAAAATTGGAACCGTTGAATTCTTAGCTTCTGTTAAAAATAAACTCTAAATCCAGGGATGGTGGCTCGTGACTATAATCCCAGCAGCTCAGACAGGAAGATTAAGGTTTTAAGACCAGCCTGGGCTACATACAAACTAAGTTCCAGGACAGTCTGGGTTACATAGTGAGACTTGTTTCAAAAAAATAAAAAAAGAAAACTTCTAGTCTGGCTATAGGATGTGAAAGATGTGCTTCAAGACGAAGAGAGAAACACAGTTTATCTCAGGGATCAGGAAACCACAGCAGGTGTCATCACATGGACTGAACACCAAGGCTCATGTCCGACAGTACAGAGCCCTGGCTACCCAGGAGTGTGCTGCCCAGAGGGAGCTCTTAGGAAGGCCAAATGCCAGACAGAAACTGAGATTGGGAAGGGGGTGGGCCCAATGACTGCAGGTAAGCAAAACTCCAGTGTCCAATGGAGACCTAACAGCCTCCTCCTCTCCACCGCACCCTTGTCTCACCTCTCTCGAAAGAGAACAAACAGGACGAGTCATTGCAGCACACACATCCGATGTGATGTGGAGTGAGGCTTGAGGAAGAAGGGGGTGGCACTGTCATCAAAACAAAGCCAAGCCCAGGGTGGTGGCACATGCCTGTGAGCCCAGGACCAAGGAGCAGAGGCAGGGGGATCACTGCAAGTTCAAGGCCAGCGTGGTCTACATAAGTAGTCCCAAAAAGCCAAAAAACATGAATGAAACAAAACAAAAAGATCAGACAGAAGATACATTCATTACACGTGGAAATCGGTTGTTCTGTACGCCTGCCATAGACAATCTGAAAAGAGAACTAACAAAGACAACTCCACTTACAAAATCAGCAACAAGAATAAAATATTTACAAATTAACTGAATCAGAGATTTAAAAAAGACTTGTATGATGAAAGCCATGGAACATCATTCCCAGAGACTAAAGCAGCCAAGCGCATTCCACATCTGTGCCTTACGATATTTGAGCTTAAAGACACCAACGCTACCCAACACAATCTACAAATTCAGAGAGTACGTACTGGTGCCAGAGCAAACACGGAGCACCCCCCACCAAGCAGTACATTTCTTACCCTTTTGATATGAATGAGAGAAATGTAGACTCACTCAGTGCTTACAGCACCACCCAGCAGGAGACCAGACAGGGCCAGCCTCTGGGCCCAGCAAGTGTGATCCCAGAGTCCTGGTATGCCTCTGCTGGGGTTGGAGTGGGAAATGCCTTCCATAAGCTCACGTACTTGAACACTTGGTCCCCAGATGGCAGTGCTGTTTGAGGAGGTTATGGAACCTTCAGGAGGTTCAGGCTTGCTGGAGGAAGCACAGCACTGGGGGGCGGGGTTTGAGGGTTCATAGCCTTGATCCTATGTGCTCACTCTGCTTCCTGTGTGGCTGAGATGTGGCTCGCGGCAACCTGCTCCCAGTGCCTTCCCCACCATTATGGACATCTAGCCCTGTGGAACTGTAAGCCACAATCACTCTGCCTTGGTCATGGTGTTCTATCACAGCAACAGAAATGTAACTAATACACCTCCTTAAACAAATATCACAAAATGCTGCTGCGTCCGTCACCTGCTGCCACCAGGCTTTCTGTGCACGTCTAGTGGCCATAGAAAGAGACATCAACACTACACAGCACTGATTTCACTGTTTAAAGAATTCAGTGACATGAAAACCAAGCACGTCTGGGCTTTGACCAAAGGCTTCTGGTATGATCTAGGGGTAAGCACTGCCAGGACTGTTGAACAGAGTGTAATACTGAGCAGAAACCCAGGAATACCACAGTGCTGACGGCGGAGAACAGAGTTCTTTTTGAACTACCTCAGACAGATGGATAATCGTACAACACTGGCCTAGAAACTATTTTCATGTGTTCCATCTCTAAACTTGCTTTAGTTGGAGCAGCTTATCACTTTTTAAGCCTGTCGGTCACTGTGCTGGCGGTGACCTCGGGGACGGATGCTACACCAACCACCTCCACCCCAAGAAGGTAGAAGACAGCCCTCCACCAGCTCTTGCCTGACGAACAATGTTCTGCCCAGACCCATGGCCTTGGGACCTCAGTACAAGTCTCCTTACATTGCAGGGGAAGGGAAAGAGAAGTTGTATATAATTTATAATGAAAAAAATAGTCAGAATAAAAGCTCACAATTTGTTTAGGAATCCTTGCTTCTCTGGGAGCTTGTTAAAGTCTATTAAGATGATTACACGTACGTGGGAAAAGTCTAGTTTCCTGACAACTAGATTTACATCTAATAATTGTAGAGTGAAGGCATGGCCTCTCTGCTTCTTTTTAGGCTTTTTCCTTTCCTTCCCTCAGTCTTAGCCTCTTTCTTTAATTCCCAAACTTCATTGTCTCCCTCTGTACGAGGGCTGGTGTGTCCCTCATCTCCCTGCATCTAGCTGGATCCAGGTCTGGTCCCCTGGCATCACCATCTCCAGCCATCTGCATTACACACTTACCCTGGTACTTCCACCAGGGTTCCCAACACAGCTACTTACCAGCTGTCAGATAAGATCACAGCTGCTGAGCTCAACTTAGAGATGCAAGATTACTATACTGAAATGCCAGTTTGATCAGGTTAGTATGATAGCATTAGAGAAAGGGCTTATAATTCTCTAAAACATCCTGAGCCTGGAACAAAATTTCCTATTACTGTGATACTAGAATTCAGAGCGAAAAAACAAATTCTGCTCTGGCAGATCAGTAATGAATAAATGAGAAGCAATGTGCTTTTTGATGTAATCGCCTTTGAAAAATGCTTTAAATTATTAAGGATGTTTCCAGCATATACATCAGTCAAACCATCCCAGAAGAAACACCTGATTTACACCTACCCTCCCACACATACACACACAGATACATACATACATCCACACACGTATACATGCACACATATACACACATGCACACATACATACATACTCATGTGAGTGTACACACATGCACAAACACTTGCACGCACATGCATACTCACTTACATGCACACACCTACACAGGTAAAAGCTATACTATGGGAAGGCCCTGCCAAGAAGCAAGCCCCCCCTTCACGGGGTGGGTATCTGTGGCACTGGTGTTGCGCAGCTGTTTGCCTCCCAATTCAAACATTCACTCCTGAAGGAGGGCGGGAAGCCCATAAGGTTCAAGAGGCTAACCACACTTAAGAGAGTCAGGAAGCTCCGAAAGGACCAAGTCTGCTCAGAAATTTGAGGACAGCTCAGACCTCAGAGGACCAAGTGAAACCTATACAGACTCAGAGAGCAAATGGGTCACAATGAATGTTTATGGTGGTCCCTCCATTTTCCTTGCCATTGTAAAAGAGAATTTGAGAATTATCTGACAAAAAACTCAGTACAGGGCCAGAGTTGCAGGTCAGCTGATGAAGTGCTTGTCTTGTAGGCACAATGCCCTGGTCTCAGTCCCCAGCACTGGATAAAAACAGGTACCCGCCTGTAACTCCAGCACTCAGGATGGGAGGGCAGGAGGATCAGAAGTTCAAGGTCATTTTCAGCTGCATAGTGAGCTTGAGGCCAGCATGGACTACAAGAGACCTTGTCTAAAAGACAAATTTTTAAAGGCCACTAGTACAGAGCTTGTACTAGTGTGTGAATGAAACCAACCCCTGGGGGTCACACAGAGCTATCCCATTTTCATACATGTGGAGACAAAACTTAATTCAGATTAAGACTCTCAGGCCAGGGAGATGGCTCAGTGGGTAAAGGTGCTTGCCACCAAGACTGAGGACCTGAGTTCAATCCCTATAATCTACATGGTAAGGAGAACAGACTCGAAAA